TATTAAATATCTTGTACCTGTATACAATGTTAAATTATTTTATTTAATTTATGTATAATACAATTTTTTGTTAATTGTTTAATTTATATTTCTATAATGTTTTATTGAAACAGTTACAAAGGTAATATGTGTTTAGTATGAACTATATTATCTGTACGTGTGTTTATCACTGAACTAGTCCTAGACGTCGGGGCCGATTTTGATGAAATTGTTTGTTTGTTTGAGTGGGTTCCCGGACGGTGAATATTCACAATTGGACTGAGTAAGTGGAGTTGTTGAATCCAAGATCCGAAATCCAGAGACCACCCGAGTAGCCGTAGTGGATCGCTATTAATTATATATTCATACCCTATTGTGCACTTATCAAGCATATAGCAATAAACCATGCGACATCTTCAACAATGATCACTAAGGTAGCAAAAATAAAAATAAAAATCGACGCATCACGGGAAATCCAACTTTATATTATATTTATCAGTGCAAATCGTAAAAAATACTATGATATCGATAAACAGATGTCAACAATGATTTATATGTGATTAGATAAATACCTAGACACCTTGAAGTTTTCGATGTCGGTTTGTACCAACGCGACGCGACGCGCAAGCTTTCCTCCAATTGCGATGCATAAGTGTAAATTGATTCGTTAGGTTTCAAGTTTTCGCAATCAGTTATTTCTTGACAGTTCTAAGTGAAATCAACCGCGCCGCCTTGTGTTCATATCGGGATTATTGTGTTAAAACACAATATAATTGGTTATTTTTCGTACGAAACTTCTAAAGTTACGTATTTCTTTTGTTTCTATGTTTATTTTGTGTTGTCCATTTTGATAAAGTTATGCAATTGTTATAGTTCAAATATGAAAAAATAAGCGATTGTGAATTCCCAGTGGTTTTATCTCTTTTTTTTGCGTGTTGTAAAATAAATTATCGGACATTTCGTTCTATGACTATCGTGGAGTTTGACACTTTTATTACATGGTAGAGCCACGCTGCAGCTATATCGTGGTTGTAGCACGAATGGGTCGGCTCGACCAGGGAAGGGCCACGCTCTCACAGAATACAAGCCTAAAATAGCGGCTGTGTTTCGTATAGTAAGTGTAGAGAACCGGAGACCCTTTTTATTGGAAACAAGGCAAAATCCGAGTCTTCAGGGATGACAACACATCATATGTATTTTGATTTTTAATCATAATAGATGTCGATGTCTATGGGAAACAACATCCACTTATCATCAGGTCGACTATGTGCTTTCTTGATACCTTATTCTATTTAAAAAAAAAAACTAAGATAAATGAATAAAATTTGTGGTCTACGATAGATGTCGGTGTTTCGAATATGCCAGACTTCTTACAATAATTACACACACCTCTTATTAACTTAAAGCCTGTTAGCTCAGGGGCTAAGTGCTCGCTGTGAAGATCACAATACTCGACGAACTCGGGTTCGATTCGCGCTGTTACCAATAAAATTGTTAATTGCAATTTGAATTGCTGATTTACCACGTGCTCGGCGATGAAGGAAAACACCGTGCGTGTCTAAGAAATTAAATCACATGTGAATTTTTAGGACACAATGAGGGCTTCTCATTTGACATTTCTTTGTTCTACAAACCTCTCAGAATGAGAGGTGTGCCCAGCCCTGTGACGGTTTATAGTCTGTAACTTTTGTCCAAACAATTGTCCATGTGTAATTGTAATTGTATGTGTGTATGTCAAATTGTAAACGCCACCACGATTCATATAAAATTTCGAATTAATGCGGTTTAAAAAAAAACAACAAAGATATTCATAAAGCTTGAGTTAGAAATTAAATTTAGAATTTGTTGTTTTTAGGGTTCCGTAGTCAACTAGGAACCCTTATAGTTTCGCCATGTCAGTCTGTCCGACTGTCCGTCCTCGCTCAACCTCTGTGACCGTTAGCACTAGAAAGCTTAAATTTGGTACCAATGTGTGTATCAATCACGCCGACAAAGTGGTAAAATAAAAATTAGAAAAAAAATGTTTTATTAGGGTAGCCCCCCTATATGTAAAGTGGGAAGTGATTTTTTTTTAATTTCAACCCTAACATGTGATATATTGTTGGAAAGGTATTTAAAAATGAATAGGGGTTACTAAAATCATTTTTTGATAATGTCAATAATTTCGGAAATAATCACTCCAAAAGTAAAAAACAATGTGTCCCCCCCCCCTCTAACTTTTGAACCATAAGTTTAGAAAATATGAAAAAAATCTGAAAAGTAGAACTTTATAAGGACTTTCTAGGAAAATCATTATGAACTTGGATGGAAAGAACAGTACCCACTACCGGGAGCAGTTGCAGGAGCGCGGAGCGCTGCTGGAGCGCGAACATAATGGATACCCACCTTTAAACTCATAAGTGGAAATACTTATTGTGACGGAAGGGAAACTACGGAACCCTACACTGAGCGTGGCCCGACACGCTCTTGGCCGGTTTTATTATATACATTAAAATACTTAAATAACATTTTCTTCTATGTTCCTAAGTGTATTTTATTTTCTTGAGCAATAGATTTGTTTAATTTAGAACGATACCATAGGTATGTTGTTTTAACACTACATTATAAAATTCATTGTGTTTTCATTTTAGAAAAAGAAAATTATTAACAATTCGTTATTGTAGTCACTAGGATAAGGAAATGAAATGAAATGCATGATTTTTATTCAATATTGATTATTGTATAATACTTATTGAACGTCATTTTTTATTTACCACTGGTTCGCAAAAATACCTCTGTTATGGGAGGAACCAGCAAGAAACCCAGCGGGACTTTTTTTAAACATATTTAAATTTACAATGAATTTATTTTGTACAATTTTTGTATGAAATTTTATAGCACCAGTATGGTCGTAGTCACCTCATTCCCATTTATATTATAATAACTCTTTTTGCACAATTGTTCTTTAATAAAACATTTAAACTTGTTTAATGACAAATTTTGTACATTTTCTGGGATTTTGTTGTAAAAGCGTATACATAGATAGTAATCATTATAAATATCCAGAAGTCAATACTTAGGTTTCTTCATTATTTTCCTTCTAACCGATCACGTTGCAAATTGTTTCATAAAATTATCTATAGTCAATTAATTTTATTGGTGCTGATATCGGCAATCGATCGTATTATGTTGTAAAATTTAGGGTTTTGGAACTTCTGACAAATTATAAAATAATAATGTTATGATATAACCTTAGAACAATGTGTTGATATCACAAAAAACACTTACGGATGATATAATAACATTTTAGGTTTTTTTTAAATTTATTACATGACCATAGAAACAGTCATTCATTCGAAATATTAAAAGTTAAATTTAGTCTGCTGTCTATTTTATTCTCAATATGCTTTCTATTGTTTTAATTGGTTTTGATTCTTTATGATTTATAAGACTCTTTGTTTCCGGTTCGGGTTAGGGTTCCGTAGTTATGCAACAAGGATTTTTTTTAATACCTCTTCCTATAAGTTTGCTTCGAAAATAAGTCCTTCAGTTACCATCGACCTATTTGGGCCCATTTTTCGTCATTATAACGGTCAAATCGCGAACTCACTTAATATGCTCATGGTATCAAGAGTGTCCCTTCTAAGTTCACGTATTGTGGGCGGGCAACTACGGAACCCTACATTGTGCGTGGCCCGACACGTACTTGACCGATTTTTATCTACACATCATCATCATTGCTACAGCCTTTCACAAGTCCACTGCTGAACATAGGCCACATCCAAAGAATACCACAAGTTACGGTCCCTAGCCACCTGCATCCATCGACTTCCTGCATGTCTTACCAGGTCGTCACTTCATCTAGCGGGTAGCCGCCCCACAGTTTGCCTACACGTCGAGCCGATCCATTCGTGCTACAAACATAATATAGATGCAGCGTGGCTCTGCCACATGATCTTTGTTTTGTCCATGTTCATTTTAAGACCTATCCGTTGGAACGCACTTTTGAGGTCATTGAGCACAGTGCTTAGGTCCTCCAGCAATTCTGTCATAAAGACTATATCGTCAGCAAATCTAAAGTGAGTAATGTACTCGCCGTTGATGTTAATACCGTATCCAGTCCAGTCCATTAGCTTGAAAACGTCTTCCAATGCAGCGGTGAAGAGTTTCGGGGATATAACGTCACCCCATCTTACACCTCTCTGCAGTTAGAAGGGTTTCGTACTCTAGCCATCGTAGCCCTACTGTACTAACACTTCAGCACTTCGATATACTGACTAGTTAACTTGGACCGCTGGGCCGAAGGGCTTGTAGCACCACCCAAATTTCAACGGAATCATAGGCTTTCTTATAGTCCACAAGACAAAGTGGCAGATTGTAAGTACTCTTCGGTCTTCTGCACAATTTTGCCGTAGTGTATGTATTTGGTGCTAAAGCCTTTTCGGATATCGGCTTGTTTGGAAGACTGGAGGTCGTCGAATCTGCTTACGAGACGATTCGTAATAACTCTCACAACACAATAAATATTTAGCACTAGCGATCCGCCCCGGATCTTGACAATAGCGCCACCTACTGGGTCCGAATGTGAATTTAAACCATCTAGGGTCCAATTTAAACATAAACAAAAAATTTCGTCAAAATCGGTTGAGACGTTTTTTTAGTTTTAGTGACACAACTAACGGACAGAAATTGATTTTTATAATTATGTAAATAGAAGAAAATAAAACCAGAGCGCAAATGCCCATGACACTAGCGCTTATAATTTTCGTGTATTTTCTTAAAAATCTCCATCCCGTTCAATCAGAAAGCGGATAATACTTAAATTTTATTAAATCTAAATATATTGCAGTTTGGCGGTGGTGTAAGAATACCCACCACCCCATTTCCCGTGGGTATTGTAAAGAAACGACTATTTTTTTGAAAGGGGCGACCATGGGAAATGTCAGAAAAATTTTATAGCATTCCAATAGATGGCTAGATCGTCAATCCAAGCGTTACGAAAAAATAAATTAACTATTTCTTATTTACAGAATTTTCAATAAATGAGTGATGTGTGCGAGACACAGAAGGAGAGGAGGGCTTTTCGCCGCATGAGGTCTATTTATCAGGTAATATGTCATCCAAACTGCTAATTTGTTAGAACTTAACATTTGTAATCGCCAACAAGTGGTAAAATTTAAAAAAAATTACAACCAACAAACCACCAAATGTGAACATTGATGAATGATATAGTCGAAGTTAATTAAATTCGTATTATAAAGGATAACTCAAAAACTACTGTCAGATCTTGATCTTTATATGGGACCACATGAGAAGCACCAGCTTTAAAATAAAAGAAAAGAATCATCAAAATTAGAAACACGTATAAAAAAATACAGTTGAATTGAATATCTCCTGCTTGTTTGAAGTCAGTAAAAAAAGAGGTTCTTAATTCGATTGTATTTTCAATAACTACCTCTGAAGGTTGGCACTTATGCCTTAATTGTTTGATGGATTTTAACATATTATGAGGTGTCGTTAGGTTCGTCGGAAGTGCAAGTTTCAGTAAACTTTTTTACGCAGAAACTAAAATTGTTTTAATAATTGTGATAACTTCGCCAATTGGATCCACCATATTTTAATTATTATTTTTTGAAGTGAAAACTTTTTTAACATCGTTGTGATTTGAAGGTCTATGAAACGAAAAAGCGACAGTAAAAAGAGACACACATAAATCATAAATTCATAAGATTTAACGTGGGAGAAAATAAAATAGGAAGCATTATGCAGTTAAAAAGAGACAGACACATAAATTCATACGATTTAACATGGGAGAAAATGAGATAGGAAGCATTATACAATGTTTCTGTAAGAATAAAGTCTGTAGTTTCAAACTATTTGGATCTGGTAGAAAAAGTATAATATAGTATAAACTCGTTTGTTTATATTGATACAAACTGTATTCGTGTTAGTGTTTAAAAATTTATGATTTCATATATTCAGGCCATCTAGCGTCTATTTTACGTACCACCTTGGGTGTCAATCAGTTGTTCGATAAAGTGACTACCTATAGAATGAAGTAGGTGGCGCTATTATAATTTTACTCGAAAGAAAGTATAATATCTATGTGTCTAATATGTATATTAAAATATTTATTTACTATAAAATAAAATTTTCTTGTATTTTATGCCAAACTTGTAGTTTAAATTAGAATATAAATCATTTACCGTAAAGCATTTGTATTTTATATTCCATTTCATTTGAAGGTTTCACTTCTGTCGCGTGTGAGCTACTCGCATGTTTTTTTTTTATTTATTACTAAATAGGGTATTAAGCATTTCTAGGGTGTGGGACCCTGTTTTCAAAGAATTAAATGAAATATTTATTTCTCCACACAATAAAATAATGAATTATTTAAACTACATTTTAGTTGATACCTTGTGGTTTTAATATTACTTGGTACTCAAAAGGGTGAAATAAATTAACTATAAAAATTAAAACCAACTTTAAAAAAATAAAAATAATAAAATAATTTCCTCAAAAATTAATAAATAAAGTTTCTAAAGTCTGTTCTATAACAAAGTGGATCGAAGGAAGAATTTGCGCAAATTAAATCATAAATATACAACTAAATGGTATCTTTTTATATTAATATCTTATTTTATATTAATGTAGGTACAGTGATTCCACTAGTACATTTGCGTAAATTTCATCACAGTACATTAGGTATATAATGAAATTTAAAATTTTAAAGTTTAATTAAGCAAATTCTTCGCGCTTCCCTAAGAAGAGTTCGTTTAATGGCTTTTACGATTATTTGGTAGGACGTATTACATATTTTCAAAGTTTTAATTATGTAGTGGCGGTGTAAGAATATCTACTACGCCATTATTCATTCATTTATCAGGGCATGTCAAAGTCTACTGCTGAACATAAACCTCTCCATAGATTACCCCATAAGGGGGATATTTGCCATACGAGCAGGTGGGTTGGCGACCGCAGCATTTTAATTTTCTAGTAGTTATTGGGAAGAAGTTGTTTTCAATCTCCTTCCTTGTTTGTTTCTCCCTGTCGCCTGTAACGATACCAAAGGGACGATATAGGGAGCGGATATTCTTAAACCGCCACTACACGGCCAAAACAATTTATCTTATTAATAAATTAAAAAATAAACGACTAGCTTCAAACTTTATTGCACGCAAGAATCTTTTGTTACTAATAAATGCGTCGTTTTCTTTTACAAGCCATTTCGCAATAAATAAATTGAATAAATGTTTAAAGTTTGTAATTGAAAAGGCGGTCTCGTTGTTCATCTCACGCCTGCAGTAGTGATCGAGCAATTACTGGCCTCCTATCCTATACCACACCTCGTTGGCTTCGGGAACAACGCGGTGGGCGTGATCCCTGAGTAAGACGTCCGACTCAGACCTTAACCACTTTCTCAAAAGAAAGGAGTTGACGACTAAAATTACAGGTCCTTAAGGAATGGTCCCGGTCTCGACGTCAGTCATGTACCTAATTGACTGTACTTTCTCTTACTTCACTGCTATTAGGGTGAACACTGAAGGATTCTTCAATAAAACAGCGATTGTTCGTAAATGCCCCTTGGAATTGCGATATTGAACTAATTTTACTAATTTTTTAACTTTCACTTTATTTTCCCTTATTTCTTTTACTTTCTTGATTTAGAACTGGTAACTATAGCTGGTCCTGACGAATTAAAAATTTGCAAATTGGGCGACTTACTAACCTACACCGGAAGATTTACTGTGAGGAAACCGCGCGCACAAAACCATTTTGATTTAAGCTAATCGATAATTTCCGCTGTTACATCTCCATTTAATATCCCATATCTTTTTTGCCCACAACGATATTATAAAACAATTATATTTCGCATAAAGCACAATGATAACGTATTACAAAAACAATTAAAACATTAACATTACATAAAGAAATAAAATATTAAACAAAATATAACAATTTTACAAGCAATTTCTTAGTCATTAACCTTAAATTTCGAAGATAAACTTAATTAATACAATTTTCATTGTTAATTTCACATGTACGAGTCTCGTATTAAACAATTCAATAGTTTAATTCACTAATTAAAACCTTTAATCACAATTAAAATTATTTTAATTTTCTTTTACAATTCTATTAGATACTATTTCATCGTTATATTAATAAAATTAAATACTTTTATCATATTTCTTATCTTATTATTCTATGAAATCTATCTAAAACATTTATTACATGCTTTTCACTTTTTTCATGATAACAGATACTTTAAGCAATTAAATTTTACATTTTAATATTAATTTTAAACAATGTCAGATACTCGTGTTAGTTGACAAACTCATTTCTACACGGCTATCGAGATCCTATAGGAGGCTCTTGCCATCCTTTTTTAATATTTATCTCTACCCTTGTCTAATACATACACTATTTAATTCAAGCATTTAACTGTACTCATCGAAATGAATATTGTTATATCTTCTCAGTTACCATTTATCAAAACACATATCTTAATACATACTTACGTACATAAGCACACACGCCTGTCACCCAGAGTGGTAGGCAGAGACTACAGACTTCCATTTGGCATGATCCTGACATACCTCTCTCGCCTCTTCTACATCCATATACCTACGCAAACATGCTCGTCGGTTAAGGGTACTCTTAAGGGCCCCTTTTCAATAGATCGCCAATTTGGACTTTGCCGTTCACTTCTGCAACATAAATTTGCTTTGTCACTCTTTCCTCATTCATTCTTTCTACATGACCAAACCACCGAAGCATTTCTTTCTTAATCCTCGTCACAACATTATCTTGCATATCTTGCATACCACACTCTTCTCTTATTACAGAATTTCTCACCCTGTCACTCTGATTCAGCCCTAACATACTCCTTAACGACCGCATTTCTACTGCGTTTATTCTGTTCTCGTGCTTCACCTGCCATACCCAACTTTCACTACCATACGTTATAGTAGGGACTAACACAGCATTGTGAATTGCCATACGTACCTTTTTTTGCCACATTCTGACTTTCCACAATAGAGTGTAGAGCCCCATTTACTCTAATTCCTGCGTTCACTCGTCGTTCTATATCATTATCATACGAAGGGTGATCCAAAAGTAATGATAATCGGTTACTTCAGGTCCGCATAAAAATCCAAAAAAAAATTATTTTTTGCTTGCTTATATACTCACTACGTCAGCCTAAAAAAATCATATAAATAGATCACGATTTCTGGGAGATACATTGACAGGTTCCAGTCCCAGTCCGATCAGGTACCTCGCCGCTTACGGTCGCCTGCGACCTAACCGTGAAGTGCTAATAATCGGTTGAGACCAAGCGCTCCCAGTGCGTTAATTCAAGAGAGAAGAAAGAAGACAAAGACATTTTAACCTGTTCGCGGAGTGCTTTGTGTCGTTGTGCGCCTTTACGGCCGCCAGGTGCATCGGGCCGCCGGCCCATTGTTCTATTGTGTAGTGCTAGTTAGTACCTCACGTTCTGCCGATTTCCAGTAAAAACTGTAAGTAGTTTATTGCACACCCGCTGCCTCAGAGGCAGCAATTCTATTGTTTTAATTTCTGTGTTGCTTGTCGCATTAGGCGACAGCTAGGTACACACCCTAGCGTACCAACGCACTAGTTGTATAAGTGTTCGTTTAGGCACACACCTCCCCCGCCGAAAGGTGGGGGGGGGCTTGATACACAAGTGTTTTTAGTCCACTAACAAGATGGCGGCTATCACTATACCTGAACTCGCCGACTTCTTCGGTCAAGTGTGCCCCGACGCTTGGGCGGCTTTCCTAGCCCAGCGCAACAAGCCTGCTGCTGAACCCCTGTGTCCATAGACACAGTTTACGACGCCGCATCCCCCGCGCCTTCTGCGCTCTCCACCCGCGGTCCCTCTCAGGCTCCGAGATGGAAACAGATAACCACCGACCCGAAAAACCCGACGACGAAGGCTTCACCCTAGTCTCGGGTAAAAAGCGTAAGCGCACCGCCGCAAAAAAGGGAGACGAGCCTCACTCGGCCCCTACGTCGCCCAACGCTACTCCGGCCAAAAAAGTCGCCCCTTCCGCGCGCAACAGCGAAGCCGCGAACCCGACTCCGGCCG